CATATGAACTATCAAATGATTATCAAATGATTTGAACTATCAAACAAACAAATGAAACGATTCGACGGTCCGACGTTAGATGATTTATAAGCGAATAACACACAAATGCGCACACCGTAATGAGGTAAACCTCATTAAAGTGTGTGCATTTTTGTATTATTCTCATCAAAACTGGTATGATGATGATGAGTTGCAATGTTTTCAGCAATCGATAAGTGCATCTTGCAGGTGTACCTCATTAAGGTGTGTATAGACGCATACACATGGACAGTTGAACGACGTTATCGCGAATTTGAGGCGTTCGATTTGAAGCGATTCGAGGATCGCAAAAAGTCGTTCTTACCACCGAAGAAACTTGTTGGCAACATGGTACACAAATTCAATCATTTTCTCAATAACATACAAATAGGTGTAAATCGCTTATTTGTTCGATCAAAGTCGGCGACCACAACACTGAACATTGCTTAACCAGCATTCATTTCTGACGAAAAGATGTCATTTCTGATTGCATACATTCAACTTCTGCCGTATTTTAATCATTTCAAAATTTCAAGTGTTCCTCAAGAACCTCACGACGCATATTGTCAGATGGCTGATATTGCTGTTTATCTGTTTTGAGGATCCCGAATTTCTGAATGAAAGACGTATTGAATTGGAAAAGTATATTCGAGCCGTAGTCGAACTAGATCTGTGGCTCCAGAAAAAGAGGAAGCGCTATTCTCTGCCAATGCTCATTGCACGTTTCCTCGATTTTCACGAATACGTAAGTTGATTTGAGGTCACGTCTCAGCATACTTAACAAAGCCATATCTTACGTGTAAATCAGTCATGAAGCATCATTTAATACGATGCAGAATTGTGTCATTTAATGTCATCTTATGCGATGCATTAACGCGAGATAGGACTTCACTGTCGCATCTGAAAAGACGTCGTCAAGTTGATGTTGTTGGATGAGATACAACCATTTCATTATGTAAAATTGTTCGACTTAGGAGTTGTGAAACTTAGAGGGTCTCAGGGAACAAGTATGATCTCAAATGCGTGTTCAAGAGATCAGAAAATACTTGTCTACTTTTGTTAACATAACATGTGGCGGCCAGTTTGATGTGGGATTTTCATACGTTGATAATGATTCATGAAG